GATATACTTGTTAACTTTCTGTCTCAGCAATTTGTCTAATCTTGACAGTGGGTGTTATAGTCTCCCATTGTTATTGTATGGGAGTCTAAGTCTCTTTGTAAGTCTTTAAGGACTTACTTTATGAATCTGTGTGCTCCTGTATTGGGTGCATATATATTTAGGACAGTTAGCTCTTCTTGTTGAGTTGATCCCTTTACTGTTATGTAATGGCCTTCTTTGTCTCTTTTTATCTTTTTGTTTTAAAGTCTGTTTTATCAGAGACTAGGATTGCAACCCCTGCCTTTTTTTGTTTTCCATTTGCTTGGTAGATCTTCCTCCATCCCTTTATTTTGAGTCTATGTGTGTCTCTGCATGTGAGATGGGTCTCCTGAATATAGTGAACTGATGGGTCTTGACTCTTTATCCAATTTGCCAGTCTGTGTCTTTTAATTGGACCATTTAGTCCATTTATATTTAAGGTTAATATGTTATGTGTGAACTTGATCCTGTCATTATGATATTAGCTGGTTATTTTGCTCATTAATTGATGCAGTTTCTTCCTAGCATCGATGGTCTTTACATTTTGGTATGTTGTTCCAATGGCTGGTACCGGGTATTCCTTTCCATGTTTAGTGCTTCCTTCAGGATGTCTTGTAGGGTAGGCCTGGTGGTGACAAAATCTCTGAGCATTTGCTTATCTGTAAAGGATTTTATTTCTCCTTCACTTATGAAACTTAGTTTGGCTGGATATGAAATTCTGGGTTGAAAATTCTTTTCTTTAAGAATGTTGAATATTTGCCCCCACTCTCTTCTGGCTTGTAAAGTTTCTGCCGAGAGATCTGCTCTTAGTCTGATGGGCTTCCCTTTGTGGGTAACCCAACCTTTCTCTCTAGCTGCCCTTAGTATTTTTTCCTTCATTTCAACTTTGGTGAATCTGACAATTATGTGTCTTGGAGTTGCTCTTCTTGAGGAGTATCTTTGTGGCATTCTCTGTATTTCCCGAATTTGAATATTGGCCTGCCTTGCTAGGTTGGGGAAGTTCTCCTGGATAATATCCTACAGAGTGTTTTCCAACTTGGTTTCGTTCTCCCTGTCACTTTCAGACACACCAATCAGATGTAGATTTGGTCTTTTCACATGATCCCATATTTCTTGGAGGCTTTGTTCATTTCTTTTTACTCTTTTTTCTCCAAACTTCTCTTCTCACTTCATTTCATTCATTTGAGCTTTAATCACTGATAATCTTTCTTCCAGTTGATCGAGTCAGTTACTGAAGCTTGTGCATTTGTCACATAGTTCTCATGTCATGGTTTTCATCTCTATCAGTTCGTTTATGGACTTCTCTGCATTGGTTTTCTAGTTATCCCTCCTTCCATTCTTTTTTCAAGGTTTTTAATTTCTTTTTGCTGGGTACATAGTTCCTCCTTTAGCTCTGAGAAGTTTGATCAACTGAAGCCTTCTTCTCTCAACTCGTCAAAGTCATTCTCCAACCAGCTTTGTTCCGTTGCTGGCGATGAGCTGCGTTCCTTTGGAGGGGGGGGGATGAGCTCTAATTTTTTGAATTTCCAGCTTTTCTGCATTGCTTTTTCCCCATCTTTGTGGTTTTATCCCCTTTGATCTTGATGATGGTGATGTACTGATGGGGTTTTGGTGTGGGTGTCCTTTCTGTTTGTTAGTTTTCCTTCTAACAGTCAGGACCCTCAACTGCAGGTCTGTTGGAGTTAGCTTGAAGTCCACTCCAGACGCTGTTTGCCTGGGTATCAGCAGCGCAGGCTGCAGAAGATAGAATACTGCTGAACAGCAAGTGTTGCTGTCTGATTCTTGCTCTGGAACCTTTGTCTCAGAGGTGTACCCAGCCGTGTGAGGTGTGAGGTATCAGTCTGCACCTAGTGGAGGACCTCTCCCAGTTAGACTACTCAGGGATCAGGGACCCACTTCAGCAGGCAGTCTGTCCATTCTCAGATCTCAACCTCCGTGCTGGGAGAATCACTGCTCTCTTCACAGCTGTCAGACAGTAACATTTACATCTGCAGAGGTTTCTGTTGCTTTTTGTTTAGCTATGCCCTGTCCCTAGAGGTGGAGTCTACAGAGACAGGCAGGCCTCCTTGAGCTGCAGTGGGCTCCACCTAGTTTGAGCTTCCCAGGGTCTTTGTTTACCTACTTAAGCCTCAGCAATGGCGGGCACCCCTCCCCCAGCCTCGCTGCCGCCTTGCAGTTAGATCTCAGACTGCTGTGCTAGCAATGAGGGAAGCTCCGTGGGCGTGGGACCCTCTGGGCCTGGTGTGGGATATAATCTCCTGGTGTGCTGTTAGCTAAGACCCTTGGTAAAGCACAGTATTAGGGTGGGAGTTACCTGATTTTCCAGGTGTTGTGTGCCTCAGTTTCCCTTGATTAGGAAAAGGAATTCCCTTCCCCCTTGCACTTCCCAGGTGAGGCGATGCCTCACCTTGCTTTAGCTCTCGCTGGTTGGGCTACACCCACTGACCAGCACTGACTGTCCGACATGCCCCAGTGAGATGAACCCTGTACCTCGGTTGAAAATGCAGAAATCACCCATCCTCTGTGTCGCTCACGCTCGGAGCTGGAAGCTGGAGCTGTTCCTGTTTGGCCATCTTGGGCACCCCCATTCATGTTCTTTTTTGATATACCATTGCCACTGTAAATCCAACAAATTCAGACAACAGTGTTTGTGACTTCCCCAAATGTATTTTTCAGTATTTTCATAATAATATTACCATTATCCTAGTCATCTACATTGAAAACTTAATAACTATTTTATCTCAAATTCTCTATATCAGTTCTTAAATTCAGATTATCATCTAGTCTTGGCATCTTTTCTTTGTAACATCTCTTATTTTTTATTCCCTATTTGAAATACTCATTTAGATGCCTAATATTTCTCTTGTGGAAAGGCATGTAACAACAATCTCCTACAATTTCCTCTTGCTCAAAACTGACAAACTACTCTTCTAAAACACTGATTTATTGAATGAAGTCTTTCATTGGCTTTCTCAAACTTTAAACTCTAATTTCCTTAGTGTAGCTCAGACTTCCTTCTACTGTTCCTCCACCAAAGGTAAATTAGTACATCTCATGGGCTGTATGCAGATTCCATATAATTTAGATTGATTCAAAGATAATTTACTCTGTGATTTTTTTGACAAGGCATAATTTGGGATGCAGATGTAATACTTAAATATGTACTCTGCGAAATATCTTACTGAAAAATCTTATTCATATTATAAGTTTATGGTGACTAAAGAGTCTTAGTGTACAAACCCTAACACAGAAAATCATGTGTAAGAAGTTGTAATAATCTAGTCTTCATAGTGACATGGGTCCACTTATGTAAAAATCAGTTTTCTCTTTAAGTTAATATCCCAATGAGTATGAAGTATTTCTGAGAAAGGTACATATTTTGTAGGATCCTCATTTCCAATAAATACAGAATATAGAATGAGAATATTAAAGAGGCTTTAAATTTTGTAAAAATTTGGGAAAAGAAATTTCCTGCAATTATTTTATACAGAATTAGTTTGAAAGTTTCAGTAAGTTCTGTACAATGGAATAGCAATCTTGTCATTTGGATAAATTTTAGTTAAAGGTTATGATAGCTAGAACCCAGTGGCTTTGTACTATCCCCAAGTTACCACATCTCTTTTCACTAGTTGTTGATTTTCTCTCCTTGGGAGATTGAGGATTTGTTCTTCTATAATTCAGCACACATTTACTTAGAGCAGAGAATATTTACACGCACACAAATACTTTTGGGGACCATATTTATTTTCAGAATGAGTGTAATTTCTTTAAAGGTAAAGGAATCAGGAGTAGAGTGAAGGGTTGATACGGAAACTGTGTTTTTTGTAAAGCTGAACCCATGGCCAGGGCAGCCAGTCACCTCTGTACAACCAACACCTTATTAGGAAAATCATGGGGAGGGGAATATATAGAGGGCCATGACTGGTCAATAAAGATTTTTCTAGCCGGGCGCGGTGGCTCACGCCTGTTATCCCAGCACTTTGGGAGGCCGAGACGGGCGGATCACGAGGTCAGCAGGTCGAGACCATCCTGGCTAACATGGTGAAACCCTGTCTCTACTAAAAATACAAAAAATTAGCCGGGTGCGGTGGCGGGCGCCTGTAGTCCCAGCAACTCGGGAGGCTGAGGCAGGAGAATGGCGTGAACCCGGGAGGCGGAGCTTGCAGTGAGCCGAGATTGCTCCACAGCACTCCAGCCTGGGCGACGGAGCGTGCCTGTCTCTCAAAACAAGTGTGTAAATTTTATTCTAAAGAGCATAAAATAAGCGTATGCTTTTCTAATCTAAAACACTTCATTATAATCACTTATGTTCATAATGATGATCCTGACCTTGAGAACTGCCAAATTCACAAACATACTCTAATCAAAATTAGCAAAGAGAGATTACATAGTTATCTATTACATATTTAGCCATAGGTTTACTCTATTTTTTTACAATTTTCAAAAAAGTTAATTTGTAACTTTTTTCTAATTAGCATTAAATAATTAGCATTAAGTAATTTGGAATGCACATATAACTAGAACATTTCACTTCCAAGTCAATTTAAATATGTTTATGTTTCTAATAGTTTATATTTCTAGTATTCATTTTATTATCTTAATGGAAATTTTCTATATGAGGAGATAAAGTTTTCTATCTCAAGTATTTCTAGTCCTTGTATAGACACATCAGGCCTCTTTTGGTCATTTGCTCTCTTTTGGAAAGAAGCTATGTGCTCAGAGCCCTCTATACCTGCGTCTCACTTTCCATCTCAGTTTGCATCCATCCTGACATTTTCTGATGAACCAAAAGCACCTTCTAAACTAAGTGATAAAACTAAAATTTGATTTTTTACAAAATAACATTTGTTAGAATCTTGTAAAGACATTTGGAAATAATATAATGTGGAAGTTATTAACAACATCAACATGATCCCTAAACCAGATGTTACTTTCATTTAAATGTTCACTTTTCTCACATTTGTTTTGGTTTCTCCTTTTAGGAATGGCAAAACTCTATTCAGAAGAATGCAGGACTTGCATTTATTGAGCTCATCAATGAAGGAAGGTAATTAATTTTACAATTTTGAACAACTAGTCAGTGTACATTTTATTCCACTGGGCAATTGCTCTTTCCTACCATCTGTTCCAAAAATGTGGAAGAAAATATCTTTTAGTTAACTAATTTATCACACGGGTACTTAATTAAACTTTAACAAAGTTTAAAATGCTAAACATTTATTTTTGAAGAAAAAGCCATGCATGAAATAAAGGGACAAACTTTATAAGGTTTTGTGAGATTTGAAGTACATTTTACTGAGTAGTAAAGTTGTTTTACACAGATCAAGTGAACCCAATCTGCAATCCCATCTGCCACTCCATCTGTTTTCAGAGCAGTGCTCAGTGTTTACCCCTTCAGCCTCTCCTCAGTCCATGTGAAACAGTTTTATCTGAATATGTCACTCATTCAATATCCAACTGAAAATGTGAGGGATATTAAATATAGCAAATATATCTCTCTCGGGTAGAAATGTATATATTCTATTATTAAAACAATAAGTAAAATTACATCTGAACGCATTATTATATTTACCATTTTGTGGTAAATAGTTGTTAATTATTATTTTTGCAGTGCTTTATTGGCAGTGGACACATTAAAATAGATTTAGCTGTCACCATGTGACATGTATAGCTTCTATCAACTCAAGACCTGCAAACTTTACTACTTGAATTTCTTGTATGATACACTGCATTCTTTGGAATATGATGATTATTTGGCATGACCTATTCATATTTGAAACCAGCTGTAGATTAATGAGGAAATAATGCTTACTGTATATAAAATTTATCTTTTTCAAGAAAGGGAGTTGTGAAAGAATAGTCCTTGAAAATTAGTTTCTATATGTTATAGATACCCAAGTTTTAAAAATTAAATATCACTTAGTATTATTCATTTTTTCCATCACTGTGTTATATTTTGAGAAATATCTTCTGTTTTTATAACAATTTATCTTATTTTATATTTCTCATTTTGATATTTTGTGACCTAATCATGTTAGCCAGTAGTACCGATCTAAAATTTAAAATAAGCTTTGCATTCACTGCAACATCAAAGATGCAGGAAAATATCAGTTTTCTTTTATAACACAAATAGTATTTTACATAACAGCACTTGCTATGTCTTACAGAGTTTTATTGTGATAAGAGTTGCTAATAATTATTATCCGTTTTCAGGTGATGAATAAATAGAAAAAAAACTATGCATTGTTTTTTCAGTTTTAGTAATAACTCTCAATGACATATCCACAATTATTTTATTTCAACTGCAAAGTAAAAATATATATATAATTATTATTATTATCAGTAACTCTCCTAAGAGTTACCGGAATTGAACCTCTAAGCACTTAAATAAAGATTGTAGTAATAGGCTTAGAAAAGGAAGAGGGTGGAAAATTTGCTAATATCAGAAATTTTAAACTTCTGATAATGCTTTTGTCGGTCAGTGGTAGAATTTGGGATTTATATTAGGAAAGGTTGGAAATAAAGAAAATAGTCACAATTTTTTTTAAAAAAATTTCAATCTAGGCTGGACACAGTAGCACACATCTATAATCCCAACACTTTGGGAGGCCAGGTTGGGTGGATCACCTGAGGTCAGGAGTTCAAGACCAGTCTGGCCAACATGGTGAAACCCCATGTCTACTAAAAATACAAAAATTAGCCAGACGTGGTGGCAGGTGCCTGTAATCCCAACTACTCAGGAGGCTGAGGCAGGAGAATCGCTTGAGCCCGGGAGGTGGAGGTTGCAGTGAGCTGAGATCATGCCATTGCACTCCAGCCTGGGCGACGAGAGCGAGACTTCATTCCCCTTCCCCCACGAAAAGATAATTAAACATGTAATAATCTCTTAAATTCTGTCCATTATGTTCTCTGTGCTCTCGTAAATTTCTGTTCCTATTCTTCATAGGACTCGTTCTTCCAAATAAAAATGATTTTGGAATAAGGATTCAAACATGAATAGTTGTAAATATGTAAGAACAAATCATGTATGCATGAGTGCAGCAAATGTCTGTTCAGCCCTCATTACATGTCAAATACTATTATAAGAGTTAGGAATAGAGTTAGGAATAAGATATAAATGGTTCCAGTTTCTTGGGGAAAGGCAGACATTAGATGAACACATACAATAATACAAGGATACTGTGATAAAAGTGGTGTAGGTAATGATGCAATCGTACCGCAGAATACTTTACCTAGTCTGGAGGGATGCATTTCACTGAGTGGTGGGATTGTCAAGGTTTTCAAAAGAGTACTTACCCAAAGGGAATGCCATTTGAGAGATCATCAGGAGATAGCCAGGTAGAAAAAAAGTAGAAATACGATTCTTGGCAGAGGGAATTGTATAGTGCAGAGGACTAGGGGCAAGAGAATAGTGAGACATGTAGCTGGAAAGCTATTTTCAGTCAGCCAGCAGCTATTTAAATGCATGTTGTATGCCAGCCACATGAAGGCACATGTCATTAGCAAAGATCATGCCATGAAGCCATGCAAAGGATACTGGAGAATAACTGAAAATGTTTAGGCATAGCCTGCAATGTGGAGAGTTTCATGGGCTCAAGAGTTGAAGCAATACCAACCTAAGGTTCAGTAATCTTGTTGAAGAAAATGGTGCCATGGACTAATAGTGGCTGTGAGGATGGAAGAAGTGAACAAATCTGAAGTATCTTTTGGAAGTTAAGTCACTATGATTGCTAATATATTGGATGGAAGAGAGGAAAGAAGGAATCAAGGATATTTTGATGTCAGCTTTAGTAACTGACAGTTTACAGTATAAGTATAGTTCACTTAGCTAGGAGAGTACAGAAAGTGAGGTTTGAGTTGAGAATTTTTCACTTTTGGGTTACACTGAACTTGTGGTACTGGTGAAATATCCAGGTGGAGATGTTGAATAGGCATGGGCATTTGAGTACTGAGCTCTCCACAGAGAGAGCTGGCATGGAGATTTAGGCTTATGAGTCTCCAGGTTACTCGTGGTAAACTGTAGAAAGGATACAGATGTGATGCCCAGGGAGAGTGAATAGAGGGAGTGGAGAACCAGGGGCCCCGCTTTTACTCCCGTTTCTGCTGGGAATCCTCTTCACCCACATCTTGACACGACTGGTTGTTTCTCATCTTTGAGGAATCAGCTTAAATGCTACCCTGTCACAGAGGCTCCCCTGACTATCTTATATAGTTGTTACACTCCCATGACATAATCCTATTTTAACACATAGTAACATCATCTCAAATGATCTGCTGTGTTTGCTCGTTTACATCTATTTCTTCTGCTAAAATGTGTTTCCTTAAGATCTTGTGTCTTATTCGTCGTCTTATTTGCTGCCATATCTCTATATTCTGGAATAGTGCCTAGTATGTAGTTAGCATGCTAACGAAATATTTATTTGCCACGTTAAATTAATATTTACTGAAAGCATAAAGAAAAGAATGGTGAGTAGAGTGTTTAAGGAAGAATGTATGATCAAAAAGAGGATTTTTAAGTTAGTATTAAAGGGACCACTGGGTTCAGCCAAAAGGAGGTCATGGTGATCTCATCCAGACTTAATACTGGTGAGCACCTGTGTGCTGAAGAAGCTGGGTGTAGATCCAAGTCCTACCCTATTAGAGCTTACAGTCTACTGGGGGCAACAGCCTTTGATTAAGTAATTGCAAGTTTAATAAATATGTAAAGGGCAATTAGAGGGTGCTATGGGAGCAGGTAACTGAGAGAGGTATTTTTTGAAAAAGTGGTGATTTACTGAGAGTAGACGGACAGAAGCCAGGTTGCTTTGAGTTGAAGAGCTAGCCCAAAATGAAATACAGGCAGCAAGCACTTCTCTAAAGAAGTTTGGCCAAGAAGGGGAAAGATAGAGTGGTTGATGTAGGTAGATAAGGTTTAAATTTAGAGAGAGGGGTTACTTTTTAGAAAGAAGAACCTGAGTATTTTTCATTGTTGATGGAAAAAGGCAATATGGTGGGGGGGAAAGAAGGCAATATTGACAGCATAAACTCTCTGAGAGGGGTGCACTGAGATAGAAGGATTGGCCTTTAGTGGAAGAGCACTGAGAAAGGATGAAGACAGTTAAATTGGTGGAAGAATTCAGAGGAGATCTCACATGATGCCTTCTCTCTATGAAGTGGCAGTTAGGGTCATTTGCTGAGAATAAAGGAAATTGGGAGAGGGTACATACGATTTTTAGAAAAGTGAAGAATACTGAAAATAGCGATTGTAAAAGAATAGAGAAGAGAAAAAACTAAAGAAACCTCAGAGGCTTGCCAGGCAATTTGGGGGAGCCAATTGAGGTTGCTGTCTTTGATAGTGTAATGTTTTCTTCAGCCGTTCACAGTTAAGAGAAGATAGGCATTTGCTTTAATACATTGACTTCTCTTACTTTAGCAAAAATAATCTTTTCACCGAAGACCAACTCCTTCCTACCCCTAATCTGGATTGTGTACCTTTCTCTGTTCTCCCAGTACCTCAATTTTTCCCTGATTTATATATACCTATCTATAGTGTTTATTTGTGGTGGATCTTTTTATGGTTATTCCACAATGCATAGTATAATACATAGTATCCATATGTTAATTCTGTTGAGTTCAAATATCAGTTCTCCCATTGATAAGCTGTTAGACTGCAGGCAAGTAATAATCTTCCTCCGACATTGTTTCTCATCTGTAGAATACTGTAGCACCCTTCTTGCTCAGTTTCCCGGAAAGTTCAACATAATATATATGATATTTTAAAATGGAAGTTTTTACTTTTGTTATTGCGTATAATATGTATTTAGAATTTTGCTTACTCCCACCTTTAGTTTGGATCATTTCTTTCAATTTAGACTTTTCTCTTTCACAAATATGAACTCGGACTTCTGGCTCAAAAAGTCATATTTAGGTAGCTGGGATGCAGTTCCAGTAAAAAGCCCATTACTCTGTTTATCTTGCTACTGTATGTTGATGCCCATTATGTGCAAAGCACAAATTAGATATTTTATACATGCTTTTATCCCATTTGCCTGGACATGTAACATTTTT